AAAAAAAAAAAAAAAAAAAAAAAAAAAAAACTTTCTGGGCATGCTTGGGATAGCCGGCCGTGCAAGAAAAGAACTTCAAAGCAAAACCGGACTTCTGGGGTTTGACCTCGAACTTGCATTATGAAAACAAAAAAAGCTTTCTGTAAATACGGTGATCAAAAAGTTTTGACACAGCACAAAATGGACAGTACAGTTAGACACGAAATGGAGACGCATGCTATTGCCACCGGACTCTAAACTTGCATTATCTTTTTTTTTTCCTTTCATTTGTTTTGGTGTTCGGCCTGAGTGTAGCTCGAGACAAATAGCTCAAAGCAAACAAACTTAAGCTTAGCAAAAGGAAACATGGGACTAGAAGGCGCTGAGCAAGTACACGAATGTTCTACTTCACATAGTTCATCAGAGAAGAGCTGACGAGTGTCGAGACAAAGTTACAGGCGAGACCATCCACGACCGTTGATCAAGATATCAAAAAGATTCCAAAGCATCTCGAACCTCCCAATGCACGGGATAGTCCCACTGCTCCCGCATATGTGACGATTCACTAATTGAACGGTTCGATTAATTTCTAGAGGACGCTTCTGATGAAAGACAACAACACAAGAACATAATTGACAGCAACAAGAGCAAAGCCGGCGCCGTTGGGGCTAATGCTCCTCCTATCATGGAAGCAATGCAACAAGAAAAAGAAGAAAAAGATTGTCCGTCGTGTTGGATCTTAAAAAAAAAAAAAAAGAAGGAAACACTCGTGAATCAGCACCGAACAACAGCATTTATTGCGCAGCTACGTACAGTACAGCGGCTACAGCCGAACGCGTCGTTCGAAGCAAACATAGGCTTAAGAGTGACAAGGCAGCCAAGAAAAGAACCAGCAAGGCAAAGTAATCAAGGAAGTGATCTGATTTGTGAATCGCAATCCATCAGATCAATCATCAAGCGCATAGCGAACGTCGAATCGGATGCTGTCTGTCATCCCATCCCATTACGATCAGCCACGTGTCACGCACGGCAGACCGGCAGTCGGCCATCCAGAATTGTCGCAGAACAACCAGCAACAAGGAAGGAGGACGTCTCTCCTCTCCTTGTTGCCTGGACGTACTCACGCAGGTGAGCATCGTCAGCCTACTCAGTTCCACGTGCCGCAAGCGCACACGACTGCAAAGCCATCTAAGCTTCTGTGAGCGAAGCAAACAGCTTGGGCAGCGTCACCACAAGTTCGTTGCCTTTCTTAAGCATCTCAATGCGCCTAATTAGGCTCTCCCTCTTCCTGTGCACGGCCGGGGTCTCGTGCATTAACGAGATAACCTTCTGCTTCTCCATCCCTGGAAGCTGCAGCACACGGTAGTCGACGGTTGTGAGCAGAGCCTGCTGAACGGAGTACTTCACCTCCATCCACACCAACTCCGCCAACCTCTGCTGCACAGAGGGCCAATATGCATACAAGCGCAACTGCATCTCTCGAGCGGTCACCCAGTCCATAGACCCATCGCGCGAGTCTGCAAGGGGCGGATTAGGAAAGCTTTCGCGATACGCCTGTACAGCCTGCATGTAGCTGGCGTCGTTCATTGTGATCATATTAGCCTCCATATGCAGCAGTCGTTTGACGAAATCCATGGAGTGCTGCTTCGCCTCGCCAAGCACTTCCGTCGCGAGGGCCTTCGCCTTCGCGCACAGCTGCGGGTAACTTTCCATGATTTTGCCCTCCACGTGGGAAGCCACGTGGTGAGCGTATTTGTAGACTCTGGGAACAAGCTTCTCGCATATATCGGCGTTCTTCTCCACCTGTTCTTTCACCAGCTGTCGCAAAACCCGCATCGGCAAGAAGTCCGGCAAATTGGCTCCTCGGCAGGATCTCATGAGCCCCAGGATGTGGTCGTGGAGCTTTAAAATACTTTCCTGGTTCCCTTTGGAGCTGGCAAGCTGGGCTTGGTACTCGATGAACATGCGATGCATAGCCGCAGCCGCGTGGAATAGCTCGCCAGGTTCCTCGGTGTAGTCGCCCTCAATGAGCAAGCGGTCCAGGATGGCTTTGCGATCCGCCACGAGCCTGAACAACATGGATCCTGCCTCCGCCTCCGTCGATATGCCACGTGGCAGCGTGGCCAGCTCCCCCTGCCGCGCTTGGAGAAGGTCCGTCAGCTGCTGCTGCAGCTTCGGAATGGTCCTTGCGATCCGGTCCGCTTGTATTTCCACCAGCTTGTTAGTTAACTCCTGCACTCCCAGCATTCCCCGATCGCCGAGATCGGCCAGCGAGGTCTAGGTCTCGAAAAACTCCTCTTCCGCGCGTCGAGCGTCCTCGTACGTCTCCTTCTCCGTCCTATTGCGCACCAGCACGTAGCCTAGCCCCACGTGCACCGCGTTCTCCATTATTTTGTCGTGCAGCCCGTCGGGAGCCAGATCGATCTTCGTGACCACTGCCAGAGTCCTTTCCCCCGTCTGGTCGACCTCCTGAGACATCCTGATTGATTCGCACGTGGAGAAATCGACGGTCGCGGAGATGACATTCAAGATCACCGTCTCCTCCGGCTCTATGTAATGTCGGATCATACGAGTGACCTGCTCGTAAATGTTCTTCGGCTGATCGGCAATCGGCACTCTTGTTATGCCGGGCAAATCGATGAGCGTCAATTCAGGCGACCCCGCTCGAATCACTGTCAAGGTTATCGGATGGTCCTTGATGTCCTTGCGATTACCTACCAATTGGACGGTCGCGGCATTGATAGCAGATTCTACTTCGTCCGCGTTAATCTCCTTCTTCACCGTGGAGTACTCTATGATCAGTTTGCTATCGACTCGTATTGCCAGCTGCTTGCCTCCGTCATCTTCATTCGGTTCGACCTTTGCAATCACTCCCTTCCATCGAGTGTTATCGTCGACTGTCGGCGCCGACTTAAGTTGGAGAATGAGAGGAGCACGGGTCACGAGACCCCTCCCTCGGGGCAGATTGATGCCAGACAGCAACTCCAGCACACTGGATTTGCCGCTCTGGACTGGTCGCCTACCACGGCGATCGTCGGGAGCTTAATGCCTTCGTCCTTAACTCCCAGCTTTCGAAGCTTCTCGATGATATTCAGCATAGGCCGGATCCTCTCGCTGTAGCCGCAGGAGAGCGACATCTTGAGCTCAGAACGATTCCTGCCACAGCCAGAAAAGAAAGAAAACACAGCACATTGACGCCGTCGACATATGTGTCAAAATGAAATCCAATGTGCCACTCGTTCAGTGCGAGAACCACGAATGAGGACGACACAGTTTAAGCTATAGTTATAACTTACACGTATTAACCACATACTTATTTAATAAGTGTTTGATGCCATGATGACGGGCATGAGTGCTTCCCTTTTGACGGTCTTTCTATTGCTGAATAGTTTTCCGATCTGTTGGCTGCTCACGCTCTCTGAGGTGTATACCTTGCAATCGTTCGATCCGTTGATGGATCCGTTGATGGGTCCGATGATGGATCCGTTGATGGGATCGACGTCCACAGCCATCGCGGAAGAAACCGCTAAAAATACATCAACCCACGATCCGTTGATGATGAATGAGGACGACGGTAATGACGATGATGACAGTGACGATGATGACGATGGTGATGACTGCGGTAGTTACGGTGATGACGATGATAGTGAGTGATGACAGCGATGGCGGTTGTGACGGAGGTAATGACGATGGTCACACCTCTTGACAATGCCGTTTTTTAACGCCGAGGAGAGGAAGAGCAAAGAAGAGAAAAATGACAAGAAAATGACAAAAGAAGTAATAGAGTCCGTCACCAAGACGACACCAAGAACGGCTCACTACCAACTAGACTACTACTTCAGAAGTTCAGACCCGAGAATGAGGGGGCGGATACAGTTTTTTTTATAAGGCACCGAGACGATGGTAGCCAACGCGATACCGGGCAAGACTGTCTTACCTCACCGTACAAAACGGACGGTTCGTCCAAAATCTCGCTTCAAACTATGTACACCCGCTCAAGGAACGAAGAGGATAACTCTCAAGACTGGGGATCCGAAGTGATGGAAGAAAATGGTGGGAAAACAACCAGCATTACGGATACCGCGAGGAAGAAAAGACGACAACAATCACGCCTGACTCCGTCGTATTTGCATAACGAAACGACGCCCTCTCGTCACGAATACGAAATTCAATGCGTATTTATGCTAAAACCCATGGAATTACGAGATGGGTTTGCCACGAATGAAATTTAATAAAGAGCCCGAAAAATTGCCGTGGTCACCCCTCCTGAGGTTTGCGTCTTTGCGACCTGGGGCGTGGTCCCACTAGCAAAGAGGATCGGATCGAATGCCTGAATCTGGACAAGGTTATGGAGATGTACAGGAAATCGAGATTGAACCGTTTTTCTGCATCTCTGGATAAAACACATCCAGATTCAGGATCTCGATCCTATCCTTTTTGCTAATGGGACCTCGCCCCTGTTGGAAAGACTTAGTACAATGTTAGGCAGTAGGACCTCGCCCCGGGGCCAAGTGTGACTACGGTAGCAGCATTGAGCTTCCTCCTCAAAGCCTGAAGTTGAAAGACTGGAAGTGTTTGGCACCTGTCCAGAAACGCGTCGAGATTCAGGCGCCCGCCACCTAGAGATATACCATTGGACCCCCCAGTGGCATTGAGCAGAGACTGCTGATGTTCATAGGGGTAGGGGACCGGAGGGGAGGCACAGTGACTGGCCCATCGAAGAAGCTCGGTCCTGATGCTACCGGCTGACCCCTGGCCAGTATCGCCCACCTGCTGGTGGGTGCAGCTCCCGCATGTTCCCTCGTTGGAGGCTTGAGCACGGATGTGGCGGCTCCGGGGTTTCCCGTAATACTATAATGACAATAAAAAAGGCCTGAAAGGCCGTCCTGTCCAGATTTGACAGGTAATTGAATTGGTTGGGCTTAAAARAATTAGCCTTAAAAAAAAAAAAAAAAAAAAAAAAAAAAAACAACAACAGCGGTCAGGATTCGGCCATTTCTGTTTCTAGACTACAATCCCCAACGCCTGCACCATAACCTGGGTAATGGTCCCAGAGTCTACTTGTTTCAGTTTCCGGGTTGTTTTGTGGAGGGATTCCCGGCCTCCTTGTTTTGGTATAATGAAATGCAAAGTTGATTTGTAAAAAAAAAAAAAAAAAAACTGCAAGCCGATTTGCTGCGGGCCGCCGGCCGGACGGGGGGCTGCACTAATCCCATGCGCTAATCGGGCGAGTCAGCGCCACTTCGGCGGCGCTTCACGCCTAATCGATTAGGGCAAGGGAATTGTCGATGCCTAGCCTCCATTTGACGTCAACCAAAACCCATGGTTATCCGGGGTTCTCTTCATTACTCCCAAGGCTCGAGATGTGGCCCGGCGTTCCTCACAAGAATCACCGCAGGGTTCATGCTCGGTGCCCTGGGCGATGGCAACCACACGACAGTATCTATGGCTGAAGGAGAGGGGACCATGCCTGCGTGACCACCGGGCGGTAGAGCCTTGATCCTGAAGTTTGGAGTAGCTACCGGGCCCTGCTACGAGTTGCAGGAGAGTGAAGGATGGGATCCCTAGGAGCTCTCTAAAGAAGGTGTGCAAGACAGAAGGGAGGGGGAGGGGGGACTCCGGCCCCCTGGGGTAATTTCCTCTGCAGTAACCTGGTGAAGAATGTGCACCTGTATTTATCCTATTTATAGAGGCCTATATTAATTAATTTGTGGGTAGTATTTTGTGTTTTGAGGTCTTATTCTGGTTATCTTCTATTGTATCTGTCCCCTGTCGTCACCATGAATGCTCCCGTCAATCCTGAGCCGGCTCCGCCGATGTCACAAGCGGAGAGGGACCGGATTAAGGGACTTCTCGCTGACTGCTATAACGAGGGCTTGCTCCCGGAGAAGCACCCCTCGGACCAAGTGGAAGTCGGGGAGGACTATGCTCGTGTCGTAGTCAACCCTGACCTCTATGATATCCAAGAGGAATGGTTGAATGAAAATGCGGTATCGGTGTTTTTTTGTGACAATTCCAAAACCTTGCCTGTGAAGATCAAAATCCGACTGATTCGCGTGTATGAGAATGGCCAGGCTAGGAGTGGAGTAATTAATGCTCCTCCTAAGAGAGGAGTATTCCATAATGAGGGTTATAATCTGATTACGTATGTCGCCTCCTCGAAGGTTATTGCGGATTGGTTGTTGAGGAAAAAGCAAGACAACATCACGCTGGAAGGGGTAAATACAACATCTTTTTCCGCCCATGGATTCCAGAAAATGAATTGTATGAGTGGAGAGAAGCGCACAGGTACAAGTTTTTTTGGATACGCTGCATGCATGTACCTGTGGCTGCACTGCCATATGTCGCAGCGGCAGTGAAAGCGGCCTTTGGTTCGATCTTGAAAAAAACATGACACGTATGCCGAATCAACCTCATCTGAATTAATGAACATTCGTTTTGACTTGGAGCCAAGGGCTCGGATCCGCTATAAGCCATAACTAATTATAGACATGAAGAAAGGGGGGTACGTCGAAATAGAGGTTGTCCATGCTCAAACTCCTTGGTGTCGGACCTTCAGACAACACTTTCATTCTGAAAAGGATGACTCGTGCCCAGCAAAGAAGAAGGAGAACGGTCCAGAACAAAGCCAAGAAAAAGGTAAAGAACAAGTTACGTCTGCTTCACCTGAGCCTAAGCAAGGGGAGAACAAGAAAAAAGGATGCTCTCCCGAGGGTCCAGGGCCACTAGTAGAAAAGGGTAAAGGTCCAAGACAGGGTGCCCATGACTCAGAAACAGGAAAAGGAACAAGCGAGAAGATCCCATCGAGGGAGGATGAGGAAATGGAAGATGCGACCGAGGAGGCAAGTGTTCAAAGGGAGGACAATACTGAGGTACAGGCGGGACAGGGGGATCAGGGGAAGGAAGGAAGGCTTGATGGCAGGAAGGCATCGAAAAGTTTATCCCGGTCATATAAAGAAGCTCTTTGCTCCGCAGCGTCCAAGGGCACTAAGAATAAGGAAAAATTAGTAATAAGGATGGTCGGACTGGGAAAGGGAACGAAGAAGGAATGAAAGCGGATTGAGGGAAAGAACGAAGTTCAGAAAGGAAAGGGGACTAGGGATCAAGAAGCGGAGGATGAGACGATGCAAGGGACTGGGAGTCTCACGGACAAGACATCCCTGCTACAGGAGGAAGGGTTAAGGGAAATAAGAGATAAGGAACACAGTGAAAATTGTGAAATGCTGGGGGTTGAGGGAAGTAAGAATGAGTTGAAACAGACCCCCCCCCTCTCCCCCTCCCCCTCAAGGGATGACCCACGAGACGTCCCTCCCCCTCACCAGCCTCCACCAACGGAGATTGGCTTGCCTCCCACTGACCTGTTTAAAGGGGATCAGCTGGGAGATCCTCCCCTGCCCAGAGCAGAGGTCCATCAGACAAAATCCAAAGTGTCGGAAGAAACGCGTGGGGCATTAAGAGTGCTTGCTTACCAGTTCCCAGGTAATCAAAAGAATGTGTCTGTTTATAATAACGATGCTTTCGGAGAGGCCCTGTCTGAGGATGATGAGGAGGTTAAAAGTAATATGAAAGTTATTTCCTCGATTATAAATAAGAAAGAGATTTTAATATCATCTGATAACGATGTGATTGATGTACACTCCGGGGGGGAAGGAGGAAGAACAATTCCAAGAATTCTTCTCCCCTACGGAAGGTATGTTTGATGAACCGAAGACGGCGGAGGAGCCAACAAGTCGGGTTGACTTACTGGATGGGAAGGGGGTGGACAAAACGCTCCCCTTTGTATTTTCTTCCCCTCCTTCCACGCTACAAGCTTCCAGTTCTAAATTACAGAGCAGTAAGTTGGTTAAAAACACCTCGCTCCCCATATCTTCCGTGAAACGTCCAAGAATAGAAGGTCTGACGAGGCAACCCAGGCCTAGTGAGGAAGGTGGTGGAGAGGGGTCTGAGGAGGTAGCCAAAAGCTCCCCCCTGAAAAGGGGAAGAACTCAGATATCATGTCCGGCACGTCGCTCCCTAGCCTTGGCTGTGCCAATACAGAATCTAGGTAGAGGGGAAAAAAACAAGGGTCAAGTCCCTAACTACCTCATCCCCCTGATTTTTTCGCATGACGGGCAATAGCCTAGATTCCTAACAATAATGGACAAGGATGAGGCATTGCATCTCCCGGTCTTTCTCCTACGAAGTCCGCCCTCGCCCATAACGCTCTGCAACCTTGTAAAGACACAGTTGTTGCAGTGCTTGGGGGAGGTAGGCATACTGTCGAAACCAAAACTGGCACGCCATCTGGTCGACAACCCCGATGGAGGCAAGGTCGGACCTTCCCTGGCCTTTTTAGATCTGTCACACATCACAGACAACAAAGTCAAATGGGACAATTTGAAAATATATTGGGTGGAACTCTCTCACCTTGTCACACCCCAATCAGACACACTCCAAGGCATTAGGCTTTTGTCAGGCCTGACGGCTCGGGTGGTGGCCAATTGGGTGATGCAGTCAGATAACGGC